CAAAAGGCTATAAAATTGTCCATACCCTTTGATCCAGCAATACCACTGCTAGGTCTGTATCTCAAAGACATACAAAAAAAGGGGAAAGGACCTATTTGTACAAAAATATTTATGGCAGCCCTTTTTGTGGTGGCTAAGAATTAGAAATCAAGGGATGCCTATCAATTGGGGAATGGCTAAACAAGCTGTGGTATATGATTGCAATGGAATATTATTGTGCTAAAAGAAATAACAAGTGGAATGATTTCAGAAAAATCTGCAAAGACATGAATTGAAACATAGTGAAGCAAACAGAATCAGGAGAACGTTGTACACAGTAACAGCAATATTGTGTGATGCAGAATTATGAATGACTTAGTTATTCTCAGCAATACAATGGTCCAAGACAATCCCAAAGGACTAATGATGAAGCATACTATCCACCTTCAGAGAAAGAATTGATATTGTTTGAAGACTGAAGCATGCTATTTTCACTTTCTTTCTTTCATTCTTTTTCTTTTATTCAAGTCTTCTTGTATAAAATAACTAATATGGAAATGTTTCACATGATTACACAGGTATAACATATCTGATTGCTTACCATCTCAAGGAGAGGGAAGGGGAGGGATAGAATTTGGAACTCAAAACTTGAAATTAAAAATGTTTTTAAAAAAAACCTTTTCAGAATAGAAAAAAAGTAGGAATAGCCAAATGGAAAAGAAGGCAAGAAAGCTCAGTAATTCTTTAAAAATTAGAATTGGGCAAGTGGAAGCTAATAATTCTAAGAAGTAGTAAAACAAAATCAAAAGAATGAAAAAATAGAAGAAAATGTGAAATATCTCATTGGAAAAACAACTGATCCAGAAAACAGATCAAGGAGAGATAATTTAAGAATTATTGGATTACTTGAAAGCCTTGATCAAAAAAAGATCCTAGACATCATCTTTCAAGAAATTATCAAAGAGGGGCAGCTAGGTGGCACAGTAGATAGAGCTCCAGCCTTGGAGTCAGGAGGCCCTGAGTTCAAATCTGAACTCAGACACATGACACTTACTAGCTAAGTGACCCTGGGCAAGTCACTTAACCCCGATTACCTCACCAAAAAGCAAAAGAAAAAAAAAAAAGAAAAAAAGAAATTTTCGAAGAAAACTGCCCTGATATCCTAGAACCAGAGGGTTAAATAGATATTGAAAGAATCCACTGATCACCTCCTGAAAGAGATCCCAAAATGAAAAATCCTAGGAAAAGATCTCAAAATGAAAAATTATAGCCAAATTCCAGAGCTCCCAGGTCAAAGAGAAAATATTGCAAGCAGCCAGGAAGAAACAATTCAAATAACATGGAGCCATAGTCAGGATAACACAAGATTTAGCAGCTTTCACATTAAAGGATCAGAGGGCTTAGAATATGATATTCTGGAGGGTAAAGGAGCCACATGGATGGGGAATCTGCAGCCTTGAAGCCACATGTGGCCCTCTAGGTCTTCGAGTGAGACCCTTTGACTGAATCCAGACTTCACAGAACAAGTGAACAAGACCACATGTGGCCTTGAGGCCGCAGGTTCTCCACCCCTGAGCTATGATTACAACCAAGAATCACATACCCAACAAAACTGAGTTTAATTCCTTGGAGGGAAAATGTACGTTCAAAAAAATAGAGGACTTTCAAGTATTCCTGATGAAAAGTCCAGAGCTCAATAGAAAATTTGACTTTCAAATACAAGACTCAAGAGGAGTGTAAAACTGTAAACAGGGTCTAGTGTCTGAGGCCAGATTTTAACTCAGGAAGATGAATCTTCCTGACTTTATGCCTGGCACTCTAGCCACTGTGCCATGTAGCTACCCCTGTTTAGATTTTAATTGGACTAAACTACCTCTCAAGTATCTCTCAACCATCTGATTCTGTTACTATATGATCTCCAATGTCTCTTCAACTTGTAATTGCCTATGATTCTATCATTTCTTTAGGATCAAAGCTTTTTTTATCTTAATTTAGGCCCGTTTCCTATTATTTGGTCATCCACAGACACAGAAAACTAGTTGGTATCTTCCTCATAAATCTTTCATGAATTTGACGTCAATGATTGACACCTCTCAGCCTTCTCTTCTCTAGGTTACGTAATCCTAACTCTTTCACTGAATGTGTTTTCTGGGCACCTTAACAGGCAGAAACGTGTCCAAACTGGCAAAGTGAACTTTAATAGGAACACATATAAAGCCCTGCATTTAGTTTAGAAAACTGTAAGTATAGGATCAGGGTGAAGACGCAGAGTCTAAGACAGAATTCCATGCGAAAAAGATGTGGGGGTTGAGTTATCCATAAAACTGCCCAGGTTGAACAAATGTTTGGATTTGATTCTGTGGATGGATCTGATTCATGTCAGCACAATGCACCATCAATTCTGTTAGAGCAAGGAGGTCAGGTGCCTGATGTGTGAATGCTCCCTCTGGCTATCAGAGGGATTGGATAAGAAATTGAGAAGAGCATGAAAACATCAATACAGTGGTGCTGTGTGATGTGTGCAATTCCACTGCAAATGATGGTGAGCCACAGAGACTGCCTTTCCAATTCATTTTTGTTTTATTTTTCATTTATTTTACGAATGTCTGAATTATGTTTGGATTAAGTCCCATTTCTAGATAAAACAATAAAAAGCCTGGCTCAGCCATGGCATTTCTCCTCATTGTAGCAATTCAACTTTTCTTGGAACAGAAACCCATGACTTCTGTCAGCAAAGTGAGTCAATTTGGCAGAGTCTCAGAAAGAGCCATCCAGATACCATGCCAGTCTATTTGTCTTGTCAAGAGTCAGAAAGGTGGATCCAGTGTTTCTTATTACATTTTTTCTGTTATCTACCAGATGAACCAATACTAGAAAGAAAATGTGTATTCACATCGGTGAAAAATTGTGGAGTAGGAGAAATGAATGACAAAGTCAAGAAATTGACTTTAAACACACACACACACACACACACACACACACACACACACACACACACAGAGCTCTTAAACTAAAACCAATAGGATTCCAAGACTCTAGCCCTCCTAATTAAGGAATGAAGCTCCTTAGGACAGGTGAATGGATTATTCTTGACACATGAGCTTCACCCAATATATAGAGAATATAAGGAGACTTTGTCATTGGTGTTAACCCACCTAAAAGTCATTTAGAGATCAACTATCTCATGTCAAATGGTAATTGACTTGAATCCTACGTCTTCACGTCTCCCAGGCACCACTGTTTTCATTTTTAATAGAGGAATAATGTAATGCCAAAGGCTACCAGAGCCCTCCATTTGCTTTCTTTGAGAAAGGAGAAGGAGTGCTGACCACCGTAGTTCCTAGGGAAACAGTTACTTCTTCTGAAAGTAGTCTTTGCTAGTGGCCTAAGCACACATACTCAAACACTGCAGGTATAAACAGATATCCTTCTAAACTTCTCACCATGCTGCATATGCTTACAACCATTCATGTTCACATATACACAATGTTTATTTTGCTCCTGATCCATGCATGGGCATTAATCATATGACCATTCACCTATTCCTCTTTACACATACACATACACATACATACACATACACATACATAGACATACACTCACCACCCAATGGTATCAACTTCAGAAGAAAACTAATTCCTTCCTACCCTACTTTCTAAACCTATGGTGAATGGAGGGGTCATTTCAAATTGAGAGTTAAGTAACCTGGGTTCTAGTCTTGTCATTGCTGTTAATTGGCCACATGATTGAAAATAGGTCATGTCATCTCACCAGGGCTGCTACTTCATCTGTAAAATCTTAAGGTTGGACTATTATCTCTAAGGTCTCTTCCAAACATGACATTCTATGACCACGTGATTTCTTTGTCCCCTAATACAAGCACAGACCCCACAGGGCTTATGAGAACTATGGGGCTGATCTCCTGCAGAGCAAGGAGACCTCTGGAGAAACCTAAGGAGGTTCCTCAATGGGCTGGAAGCAGATCTTTCTGGCCCTGCATTCCTCTCATCAAATATCCTCTGGGCTCTCACACTTAGAAATTCATACAGAGCTCTTAGGAATATTGCCTTAGCCCAGTGAAGGGTGAGACTCAGTCATAGATAAAAAGGAAAAGGAGAACTGAAGAGATAACTCTTGACTGTTTTTCATTTTTCCTACTGGGGCCAGGTATTGGAGGAAGTCAGCTATCAGGGGAAAGAGTGCTACCTTTAGTTGTCTTACAGTGTTGTGCAGTCTACAACAAGGGCTTAAGGAGGGACCCCAGAAATTGTTTTATCTCATTTTTAAAAGGTTTCTCTATCAATTTCATTCATATGTTTAACCCTCTTCCTTCCCTATCCTAATTCTACTCCTCCATCCCCAAAACAAACCTCTCTCTGCTGTCTTTGTTAGTGAAGTCCTATGATTTTTTAATATAAAACACCACCTATAACATACACACATATACATACATCCTCCAGTGGAAAAAACTAGAGAATGTCACCCTGTAATCCAAATGCCTCAGAAAATCCTTGATTTCCCCAAATGGGAGAATGCGTGGGGGGAGGGGCTGTTGCTGCTGGTCTGATGGAAACATTGCCCCAAATAGCTCCTCTCCCCTCCTTTGATAGCAAGGGGCTTCTGGGGACAGTAAAGCTGTGTCAGGGAGGGGGTAAGGTAGATTGTCCTGGAACACTATAGAATAAGAACAACTCTTCTGAGGTGGAGAGAGCTCAAAGATACCTCAGTCCCCCAATCCTCTGTCCCACAGAGTCTAACAGTTTGGAAGGAACCCTTCCCCATTCATCCACGTGTGATTTTGGTGCTGCACTGGAGGTTTCAGTGGCCCAAAGGAACAGTGAGGTGGTTCAGTTTCTTGTCAGTAAGAATTCTAGAGGCTAGGAACACCCCAGCCTCCATAGAGGAGAATAGGAAAAGGAAAAGAAGGATGAGAAGGAATAGAAGAAGTCAAAGGTAGAAGAGTGAGGCAGGTGGCTAAAAGAAGACAGTACGCAAGATGGAGGAGGATGGTGGGGCCCAGCTCAGACACGTGTGTGTTTGCAGGTCCTTGACGTGCCTGAGGTGGAGGGGACCTCCTCATCTGCCGTGCTGCCTGAGTCCTCTTTGCGTAGACCAAGGCCTATATGGGTCTGCAAGGCCGCTGGGGTTAGCCATTCCTTGGGGAGACAGCTCTGTAGAAAAGGGATGCAGGAGCTGAAGTAGGCCAGGCGGTTCACCCAACGAGGTATCTCCCGACCACACAGGATCTAGGAGGAGCAAACACAGAGAAAAGAACAGGTTTGATGCTAATGATACACAGTGATATAGCAAAGGACTTCAGAGACACTCCACCACCACCACCACCACCAGCGCAAATCCCTGGTTCTGTTCCCTGTGCCTCTGAGTTAAAGGGTCATAAGATCATAGATGTAGAAATGGCAAAAAGGTGTAAGTCATGGGGCCCAGTCTCTTCATTTTATAGATGAAGATACTGAGGCCTTACACAAATCATATGTGGAAGAGCCATAATTCAAACACAGGTCTTTTAACTCTAAATCCAATGTTATTGTCCCATACTTCCACCAAGGGAGACCCTGGGCATGACTTTCAGCCATTGTGAACCCCCAAAAAACTTAATGGAGCTCCTGGGAAGTACTCCAAGCAAGGGTAGACTAGGGTCTTAATTGGGCTAGAAGGTTTTCCCATCCCCTATTGTAGTAGCACCCACTGCTAGTCCAAGAACAGGATACCCTATAGGCTTGGGTATGCCCAGATGACTGCCAGGTGGGACAAATGATTTGGGTCAAAATCCTAGATGTCCTTATTCAGTCTTCAGCTTCCCAGTTTCAAGCCTCACCACCTCCAGGATCTTAGTGGAACTACTCGGGGGGACAAACTGTCCAGACAGAAATTTCTGTTGCCTCGATGCCAAAACCTCTGCATGGTTACACTAATCTACTATTCCATTTAATGATTGGTAGTATCTACTCCACTGAATAACTGGTTCTGCAAAGAGGGACAAGCTTGAAAGCAAGTTTGTTTACCAAACCTTTACCAAAGGACCAAAGGGAATAATAGGAACCCCAAAGCCAGATGAGAGAAGGAAGGACTCTAGAGCCAGTCAATCTCAGTTGGCCCACATAGATTTTTCCAGCTGCTGAGAGGAAGGAATAAACAAAGTGGATTTTAATCAACCCCTTTATCGGATCATATTCTCTTAGGAAACACCATTGTGGAGTGAAAATTAGATATTTCATCAAGAACTAGAATATTTCCGTAAGAATAATCCTTTGTATAGCTATGTATTTAACTTCGAAGAGCCTCAGTTTCCTTACTTAGGAATATATGTATCGTGTCATTAAGTAGTTATAAGAAAAGTACCTTGTAAACTTTGAAGCCTTATATGAATATAAGTTGTTTTTCTTAATACACGAACCTTTCTTCCTCTTATTTTTATGGCTATTCTTGTTTTTATATTATTTTCATTCCAAATATATCCCTCCCCTATCCAATAAGTCATGGCTTGTAACAAAGATCTAGAAAGAAAGGAGGGGAAGCAGTTTAGCAAAACCAACCAATATATTAACAATGTCTGACAGCAGATGCCAAGTTCCACACCCATAATTCCCTATATCTGCAAAGAAGATTCATTTTATAACTTCTTTAGGGCCAAATGCAATTACTACAATTTTGCTGGATTTGGTTTTTTGTTTTGTTCTTCATTTATATTGTTACCGGAACTGTGTATATTGTTTTCCTCTCTCTAGTTTCTTGACTCTACATCAGTTCATATGTTTTCCCATGCTTCATTGGTATGTTCATATTGTTTTTTTCCCATAGCATAAAATATTCTGTTATTATCATATAGAAAATTTTGTTTAGCCATATTCCAATTGATGGGCATTGACTTTGCCTCCAAAATTTGCTATGAATATTTTGATTTATAGCCCAATTTGATTTATACGGAACTTTTCTGACATTACCATCCTTGGGATATATGGCTAATCACGGCATCTCTGAATTAAAGGATATGAACGTTTAAGTCTATATGTGTACTTTCTACATGCAAGGTACTGTGCTTGGTAAGATAGGATTTTTAAAGAAAGATAATTCAACAAATATGTATGAAGCATCTGCTATATGCAAGGAATTGTATTTAGTGCTAAAATATATCACAGTCTCTACTATGAAGGAGATAATAAATGCAAAGGTACTTTGAAAAGTTAAAAGAGCTACGAAAAGTTCAGACTATTATTCCTTCATTAAATCTTACTACAGTGACCATAAAGGTGATTCTGAGTTCTTGAAGATTTATGCCTGCAAAGTAAAAGCTCTGGTGGGTCCTACCAAGGAAAAGCTTTGAGTAAGAGCCCAGTTATCATAGAATCATAGATTTAGCATTCAAGGGAACTTTAGAGGTCATCTAATTCAAAGCTCCCATTTTATAGATGAAGAAATAAGACCCATTATATGTGTTGTCTGAAAATTAACCTTGCCAAATTGGGGGAGGTCATCACCAGAAAGTGAGCCACTAGGTAATGGAATTATTTTGGGTCATAAAAACTCTTTACTAAGACATAGAAGGGATTATGATGGAGTGAAAATCCATACTGATGAGAAATCACAGTGTTGAGGCATTGAAGTATATCATCATTATTGCAATAATAATGATAATAATCTAGGCCAGTCTGGCAAATCAAATGAGAAAATCATTGTACAAAAAATACAGGATTTTTGGATTTGGTTATATTCTCATCAAACTAAAATATGAGAGGGCATAAAAAACAGTGATTCTGAAGAGGCAGCCTTGGAACTGCCCATTTTACTGAAAAACAGGATTACACTGTGAGCCAGGAGACCTGGGTTCTTGTTTTGGCTTACCACTAATTAGTTGTATGGCCTTGGGCAAGTCATTTTAGCTGTCTAGGTCCCAGTTTCCTCATCTGTGAAATGAGAGCTGGTCTATAGGATCTTTCAAAGTCCCTGCCTAACCCAACATCCTAGGCTTCTGTGAGAATCCAGTGCTTCAGAGAAGACTGTAAGTTTAATGGAATTTGAAGATAAGGGAAGTAGGGAAGAGAAGGGAGAGAGAGAGAAAGAAGGAGAAAGAGAGAGACAGAGAGAGAGAGAGAGAGAGAGAGAGAGAGAGAGAGGAGTAAGTTGCCACACAAGCAGTAGCCCTGGAATTTCAGGTTTGAAATATGTGCACAGATTAGGAAGCAGCAGGGGCAGCAGCTGTTTGGGGTTTTGTTCTATTTTCTGGCTTTTAGCCCAGAAATATTGCTGGCTTTTCCTTGATTTGCTTCTGTGAATATCTCGGGAGGACCAGTCATTGAGTAGGGAACAAGCTGAAAACAGTATTTAGGGAACTTTGAGCAACAGCTCATCTATCACATCTCAGGTCAGGGCAGAGGTTCTAGAGGTAAGGGAAAGGTTCCCTTTACCTCTTTAAGTCAGGTCACACCACCCTGCCCTGGAGTCAGCCTTTCAGTTGTTGTTCAGTCATTTTTCAAATGTGCCTAACTCTTCGTGACCCGATCTGGAGTTTTCTTGGCAAAGATACTACAGTGGTTTGCCATTTCCTTCTCTAGTTTATTTTACAGATGAGGAAACTGAGGCAAACAGGATGAGGTGACTTGCCCAGGGTCACGCGGCTAGTAAGTGCAGAGTCAGCCTTACTGAACAGGAATCTAAGACTTCAGGAGACCATGGAGTGGTGTTCTACCTAAAAATGTCTCTCACCCTCAGCTTGCCAATACCTGGATAGTCTACAATTTGGGGTTCATTTCTAAAGCTTCAGGCTTCTCTTAATTCTTCCCAGGTATCCACACAAGTTTATCATAACCTGTCCAGAAAACTAGTGTGGGATCATTGAGGAAAAGTCATTCAAGGAAAGAATAATTTCCTATTTTGATAGGGTTAGTATACCAATAGTTCAAAGATATAGTTAGCGAGAGAGTTAATCAAGTCTCTTATGAAGGAGAAAGAGAAGGAAGTTGGTAAAAGAGATAAATAAGACAAGTTGGTAAGAAAAATTAAGCAACTAGTGAGACAAGAGGAAAGGAAGTTAGATGTGCTTGTCAAGATGTTAACAAAGTGGGATCATCAGGAGGACCTGAGTTCAATTCCAACCTCTAAAACTTGACATTTACTAGCTGTATGACCCTGAGCAAGTCACTTAACCCCATTGTCTCACCAAAAAAAGAAAAAGAAAGAAAGAAAGAAAGAAAGAAAGAAAGACAGAAAGAAAGAAAGAAACGAAGAAAGAGATGTCAACAAAGCAAGGAAAGACAATGACAGCCCCACAGGCTGCTTGCCCTGCAGTTCTCCTGGGGAGCAACTATCAACAAAGACAAGGTCTGTGGAATCTCACTTCTATCAAGTACGGAGAGCAGAGAGAAAATTGCAGTGACCTTCCTAGAGTATGCAAATACACCAAGCCCAAGTGACTATAATTCATATTCAGAGGATATGGACTACAAGGGATTATAAAGGATATCAACGGCAGGCTGATATCCTTCCAAGGAACATCTCTCCATTCACTAGGTTATTAAGGAGAATGATGTGTTCCTTTCAAAAAAAATGGAAGAATGTGAATTTCAAGTAAGATAACCACTTTGCACTTTGCCAACTTTAAGGGCTATATAGGAGGCTTTGAAGTCAAGAAGACCCGAATTCAAGTTTTCCTCTGACACAGAATCAAATCACTTAACCTCTCAGTGCCCCAGGCTACTTATTAAGACTATAGGTTGGAGAGCGAGTGCTGGTCTACATTGGTAGAGGATGTTTTGTCACCAGTTTATTATATCAGTGAAATCACAAATACAGTCCCCAATCATTAAAAGCTGCCATACTGTTATTATTAGTATTAAGTTAATGATTACTACTATTAACTCCTGACAAGTTGACTAGCACCACACATATACACACACACACAAATCCTGGGTTTTGTATTTCAAGTTTTGAAAAAGAGGAAACTGATGCATGATTAGCTCTTAGATAGTGGAGCAGAGGTTTTCACTCATGTCAGGAGCTTTGGGAGGAAGGAAGAGAAAAGGGACGGGTGGCAGTCATGACATGGAAGTAACTGTGGCAGCAGCCAGTGTCTACCACATCTACAATTGCCTTCTTTGGACTGTGAGAGACAATGGGCAATACAACAGCAGTTTTGTTTTAAGAATAACTTAGTCATTTTGACTATTATAAACACACAAATTAAAAATAAAGGACATATGAAGAAAGATGCTATCTGCATCCAGAGAAAGAA